CCCGGGGAGCAGTTGGGGGTTTGGTGCCTTGCTCAAGGGCACCTCAGTCGTGGTATTGAAGGTGGGAGAGAGCACTGTACATTCACTCCCCCCACCTACAATCCCTGCGGGACCGGAGACTCGAACCCGCAACCTTTGGGTTACGAGCCCGACTCTCTAACCATTAGGCCACGACACAGATAGACATAGACAGAGACACACACACACACACACACACACACACACACACTTCGGTCTGTTCTGCACTTTCACAAACCATCATATGCACCTGTGTGAACTCATAGGGTACGTCTTCTGTCGGATGATAACACACTATTGTGTTTCCATCAGATGTCACTGCGATTTCCACATCACTGAAACAGAAGCGATGCATTTTAGAGAAACAAGCAACACAATGGCACTTTACCTGATATGGGTGAAGTCTGACATGCAATAACTGCAGATGCATCATACTAACTGAACAATTAAATGTGCATTTATGAACACATTATGTATGCATTGGAAACACTGACCTGTTGTCGTTAATGGACGAACCTCTGACAGTAGATTTGTTGTGAGATGACAGAAAAGTTCCAACTGAAATCGAAAAACAGCACTTTTTTTTGTCGTTTTCTAATAATCTCGGAGTTGAAAGTGAACACATACAAGCCAAACCAGCACAACATCACTCATTCATAAGGTCAGAAATGTTGTAGGTTATACAGTACAGCACAGTTCTACACTCTGGCTGTGTTTGCAACACATTTACAGTAGTTACGCATACAAATTCATCTTATTTATAACCTAAATGTAACTGTTTTTCATTATGAGATCTCACCTCTGAATGGTCTAATATTAACGCGATGAAACAGGTGAGCCAGTCTGCTGATGTGACCCGACGCCATGCTTTCCGCTAATAGAACTGAAACAGTGGAAGGGAAACGGAAGTTAGGACACCGCGGCTCAACAAAGACACGTTTTGCAACGTTTTCGGACTATGTTACTAAATCAATCCATAGTTTTTAATCGTTTTTATGTGTTTTGTTTAGTTCTATTGTTATAATCCGAACTGTCTTGAAATTCGATTCAAAATATGCCCTGATTTGATAATGAAGTTCAACGAGGAATTTGGTTTTTGAACTTTAGAGCGCCCTCTAGCGGAACTATTACAAACAGTGCGCTACATAAATATTCCTCCGGGTAGGAAACAATCAGCGCCGTTGGCCGTTCAGGTCCCATTGCTTTATTTAATCGATAAAAAACATAGTCATAGTAAACACCGGCAAAATAAATAAACTAATAAAGTAAATCAATCAATAAATAATATTAACTATTATTTACAGATAAAATAAATTGGTGTCTTGCAGTACCTCGCAGCCCCAATAGAAGGAAGCGTAACACATGATACAAACCACCTTTAGAAAAATAAAATATATATTTTTAATAAAATTAAACTCCACTGTGACTTTAATGAAATTTAAATATTTTTCTTTCTTTAAGATATGTGGTATTCATTGTTATTATTAATCTATTTATTATAATATATTACCTTTGTAATGCATGGAGCGCTCTCTGGCGGCATAAATATCCAATTGCGGTTCCAATTTCCCAACTTTACTATATTACATGGATTATCACAGAGCATTAGGATAAAATAAATCACAAAGCCAATTAGTTCTCACTAACATTTATGAAAGATAGTATTTTAAAGGGGCAAAAAAATTAACTTACCAGCAGTACCGCTATACGCCACTGGAGGGCAGCGAAAC